CCCCCCCCCCCCCCCCCCCGCCATAACCTGTAACTTCTCTAATGTTAGCTTGGGAACAGACCCTCAGCAAATATTTTAAAGTAACTGTTGCTAGATACTGGTGGCAATGATGACTTTCAAAAAGGAAAACCCCATTCTCAAAATGATATAATGATTTGAGATGTTAAAAAGTGATGAAAAGTAAAATTTAACATAAGGAGAAGAGATGAAAGCAAAAGAACAGAACATTATGGCACAGCGCAGAGCATTCCCCCATGGCTCCATCTGGCCACTGAGGACCAGAGAAGGTAGAGCACTTCATCCAGAGTCCGCAATGACCTCAACATGAGCCCATCTCTCACTATGGTGGCATCCTCAGTACAAGCACAAGTTTCCTCTCAATTAATTCTACATAAGACTGGGCTTCTGTATGCTTTGCATGTAAAGAGAAATTGGAGGAGAAACAAAAAGGAGCTATGATTTTGTTTAATAATGAACACACAACTCTGGAAGGCTCTTCCACAGGACAATGATCTACAGATGGGCTGTGGATCTGTCTCCGGGCTGCTGTTAGCAATAGTTTGCCCCAGACATTTAAATACCTTAAGTACACCAAGCCTGTGAGCATGTTCTCTAATATTACTGCAATTACTACCAGCAGTGTCTCTAAAAATGCCTGATCTGAAATGTGAAGACACTATTTGTGTACCTGGGTAGCTACTGAAATAAAAACAAAATGAATACTACGAGAAAGTAGTCTCAACTGAGGAGGTGAACTTCGGTGACAATTCTAATTCCTATTCTTTAAAATTAACCTTTGTTTAGACAGAAAACATAGTACAGCATTTTTTTTTTCTTTAACTGAATAGGGGGTACCTATCCCTCTTCACTTAGGAGGATCAAAGAGCTCCCAAGGACCCCACCTTTCCAAGGACTTCAGCAGAGCTTGAGATGGGCAGTGGGGCTGCCCACAGATTCCTATTTACACTGTACTTTTTGCATCACAGATTATCAAAGGCTTCGTCCAGGTTGTCCTTCCTGGGAAGGCTGTCCTCTCTGACATGAAAATGTTGAGTTTCCAAATAAGGTATGTCCTTGAAGTCCTGGGCTTTCGGCCTGAAACAAGCTGCTGTAATTCAAAATTAGCCACTCACAGTCAGGAAGGCCTGTCACTGAAACAACTTGTCCCTCCATGAGGGTCTGTCCCTACCCTCAGCTGCAGGCTGACTGATATTTCTGCGGCAGACTTGGTGGGACCCCTACTCTGAATCAGAGCTTTACACTTCCCAGTCTATAACACCAGATGCTTCCTACTTACCCAGAATCCTCCTGACTCCTTGCCTCACACCTAAAAATGCTTCCCTTCCCCCATTCTTGAGTATAAATGACAACATAATTAAGACAAACACGGCAACTTGCCTAAAAAGTCATTCCTTTCTACAATCACATTTTTGCACCCATTATTTCATCATTCCATAGTGTCACCTTGCAAATCCTCATGAAAAGTTGGCTTTGGAGAACCTCTGTTCCACTGCCTTCCAAAAATCACCTCATTCCCTCCAGGGGCACTTTGCTAGTGGTGAACCAGTGCTTAAAAAAGCAGTGAAGAAATGTGCTCGCTGTCCAACAGGCAGTTTGTCCTTGGTCACTCTGTGGAGACACAGGGTCCTCACGGTGGACTCACTCTTACCTCCAGATGGGGGAAATGGGGCTTTACAGTGTTGTCTGACAGATATAGAATGGCTCAAACCAAGATTCTTTTCGAGAAACCACAGGCATGAGGCTCGGAGACTGGAGACTTCCCACATGTAAGGCTTCAGTAGGGGGCTGTGGCAGGGGCTGTGGCAGGGGCTGGGCAGGGCCAGGCAAGCCCCAACACAGCCCAACCTACCAGCAAAGTCCATGCCATCAAAGCCATCAATTACTGCTCTGGCTGCAGGTTGGCTTCAAAGGGGGAGCAGCAAGTCCCATCCTCTGTATGTTAAGGCCCAGAGTCCTTCCACAAGAAGTCACCATGTGACCATCTATGCCGTGGGTTAAGCACAGGTCCCCAACCCAAACTGGAACCCTACTGCTTTTGGACCATGCTCCAAAACTGGCAAGACATCTCACTAACCAACTGGAACCAGGAATCCAAGCATGGCCTGAATGGTGCAGGCAAATCCATATATTTCAAGGGTAGACCCATTTCGAGGAGGTGAAGAGCACTGACCCCCAGCTTTCAGGCCTTGACAAAAAAGAAGTGAAGAAAGGGGGAGGGGGAAATTCCATCAAAACTGAGTAGCTGGCCAGACCATACTATGGGGGTCTTGTAGCCCAGCCTCCCCAGGCTGTCTTCTGCTTACCAGTGAAGCCTGAGGTTGAGAGGTGGGCAGGATAGGGAGGTCTCCCAGCATTCCCCACCCCCTGGGGCTCACTGGGTCAACAGAGGCTGCTGGCCTGGCAGGCGCAGCAGAGCGGGGCTCTGGAGACAAAATGCAACTTCTGCCACAATACTGTATAATTTCACTTGTTCAGAATTGGTGAGGAACCAAAAAAAAGTGAGTTAGAATAAAAGGCCTTTTCCCCCTCCACTTCACTCCCAGTTGCTATTAGCAGGGAGCAGGAACCTGAAAATATTCTTAGCTATGACATGGAATTTGAGGAGAGATAGAGATTAGTTTTGTGAGAGGTGAAGAGACAGATTTTAACTGCAAGAATTGGTTCACAGCAGCACAACACACACCTCATGCCAACTGCCTGTTTTTCTGCCTTGGGGAAAACTGACAAAAGCCTGTTATCCAAGGGCGTGAACTCCTCTGTTGCACAATGTTATGTGTGTGTGAAGAAAGGGAAGCACAGGCTTCCAGAGCTGGAAACAGGCATGACAGAGCCAGTCTGATCTTGTCCTTTTAGTGGAGGCCTAAGGTCATAAAGTGATTGGCCCAAGGAGACCCATGGAATGGCAGTGCTGGGCCAGTCTGCAGGCCTCCTGGTTCCACTTGGGCCACTTGCCTTGTTGACTTCAAGGTGGCCTCATCTATGAGAAGCTTGTAAAGAGGAAGAAAAACAGTGTCTGCTGAGTGCTGATGCACCAGGCATGGGGACACAGACTTCACACAAACGATTTTCATGTCATCACCAGGATGGCTCTGCATGTTCATACCCATTTACAGGTAAGGAAATCAAGCCTGCATGCAGCTGAATAACTTGCTAAGTCATCCATCCAACAGGTGGCAGATCCTTGCCACCGTATCTGGGCGCTAAATTATCATTCATTTTTCTTCTTTTCTTCCTCCTACCTTCCCTCTGTCTGTCCATCACTAGGCCACAGTACCTTGATGCTAGCGGAGGTGATACATATCTAGAACACTGCAGCCACCCCCAGATATCACGATCTGATCAAAAGCTAGTGATAAAGAGAACCAAACACTTCAGTAAATTTTGAAATATAAATCTCCTAAGATTCAAACCATAACCTACACAAGCCAGCTTTAGCTCCTTGGCGGTAACATGATCCAGTGGTTGACAAAAGGAAGAATGAAAACATCTAGTGATGCAGGTTAAAAAAGTTTTGTTTCTGTAGCTGATTTAGTCCTTAGCCCCATGTTCAGGACCAGTCAGTCCCTAACCACAGAGCTCTGAAGCAGATTTCCAGAAGCCAGAGGAGGGAGAAAAGCTGGGACTATTAGCCCTGTCCTTGGATTCAGGTCAGATGGAAACTTAGGTTGACAGAGTCTACAAAGCTTTCTCCCTGTGATTACTCACAAGTGAATTATGACCATCAGTGATGTCGAGATGACTGAAATAGGCCTGTGACAGACAGACTGCAACTCCAGGGCAATTTCTGGTTTCCATCCATATCTATGATAGTCCTGATCCATCTATAGGATGTACAGCCTATGAGGAGGCGAGGGTTCCAGGACATCAGACCTACTACCTTCTCCTACCACCAGACACGGAAGCCATGTTCTTGAGCAGACTTCTGAATAAGACAGCCTCAAAGCATATCAAGAGGACAACTAACTAGGCAGACCCACCTCCAAATTCTTTATCCAGTCCACATTTCTCTCAGTGTAAGGGAAGTTCTCCCACAGGAAAGACGCTAACTACACTTCCTAGAAATGAGGCAACAGGATCAGAACATTCTTACCTTTTATTTTCAAAACAGTATTTCTGCTTTCGTGCGTGTGCACATGCATATGTGAATGCACAAATAATGTAGGGAGGGGAACCCTTAGGGCAGATGGTCCTGGGTCAGGTGGGAATCCTGGCTCTACCAGGTTATCTTGGAAAAGTTACTCAGACATAAAACCCCAGTTTCCTCATGTATAAGATGGAGATATTAAGGGCCTCAATGCAT